TTTTTGTCTTGTTTCCAGCCAAAATATCTAAAAATTCTTAAATCAAGAAGGATTTTTCTAGACAAGTAAAAATTATTGTCTTGTTTTCAGAAAAAACATGTCAAAATTAAGTGTTTTTGCTTGAAACAAGCAAAATAATCTGCCAATGGGGTAAGCAAAATAATCTTGTTTTCTGTTTGAAATAAGATTATTTTGTTTGTTTCAAGCAAAAACTCACTTAATTTTGACATGTTTTTTCTGAAAACAAGACAACAGTTTTTACTTGTCTAGAAAATCCTTCTTGATTTAAGAATTTTTTGATATTTTGGCTGAAAACAAGACAAAAAAACTAAGTAAGAAAAGCATTTTTTGCAGTGTATAGGTGCGGATACTTTATTTGAAGTAGTGGACTCGGGTGAAGTTTGAGCTCATCCGCACATCTCTACACTGACCTGAGTCGCCAGTAGCAAACAATGGAGCACGCTCTGCTGGACAAAATAAGTAATTACACCATTTAGAAGCATTTCATCTGTGTTATAGCTCTATAAAAATAAAAAAAAGTTCATATTGGCGGCATATTCGCCGATACCGATATATCTGCTACAGGCTCATATCGGCCGATAATATCGGCTAAACCAGGGGTAGGCAAGTTCGGTCCTAGAGAGCCGCAGTCCTGCATCTACTTACAACATGAATATGTCTTAAAGGGATAGTTCACCAAAAAATGAAAATTCTGTCATTATTTATTCACCCTTAGGTTGTTGTAAACCATGTATGAGTTTCTTTCTTCTGCAAAAAAAAAAAAAAAAACCTTCAATTGTTGGTAACATTTAATCCAATATCTGTCTGTTAGCAATTAGCATGAATTGTCAAAACACTCTATTGTGACTGAGACTCACATTCACTTGTGTCCGGCTCTCTAAATGGAGAACAGTGAATGGGAGGGTGTGTGTGATTGAGAGAGAGAGATGAGCGTATGCGGGTGTGTCAGGGTCAGTTTGGACTTTGTGAAGGGAAAAACGCTGACAATGTCATTCAGTCAGGCCCACACAGATACAATGACCCCAAAAACAATTTGGACACTTTATTTTCACTATTATCAACTAGTAAGAAACAGCATAGTATGTGCTTAGTATGTGCCTAAGCTGTGCCTATAGCCTGAACTATCTAAAGGTGGGGTCACATTTAACATTGCATGGTGAATTTTCACAGGCCAAATCCAGTCATTTGAAAAGGAATCCATGCAATTGGGAATTTAACATGAAGGCGAAATATTTCCCCACACAGATTTCACAACAAGTTCTATTTGGTCACGTTAACCATCAGAAAACGGCTTGGTTTGAATGTGATTTCTGTGGGAAAATGTCTGGATGGCTTTGCATTCTATAAAACATCAAAGCAAGTGACATCTGCAAATAAATAATAAATGTATTTTATATGTATATTTCATTTAAAATGATCATATTATTATTTAAAGCCCTACTTAATATATTGCTTGTTTAGACATTCTTCCTAGAAATTAAGACAAAATACTGATTAAAAATGTGATTTTTGGAATGGAAGAGAACTTGAAATCAATTCAAGTGTTTTTAAATAATAATTATAATGTTGCAAAACTCCTGTGCAAGATTACTGTTAATAATTATGTGATTCGCCAACAGCTATTGGGTGATGTGATACTGCAATCTGTGGGTGGACTATTAGGGTGAAAAGTAAAGAAGGATTTTTCACCTAGCGGTTTATTTACATAAGCAAACTACTCTCTATCGCTAATGACTCTGCCTTTTGTTTCTGTCGGCAGAGCAAACAAAACATCCGCTTTCATGTGAGGAGAAAGAGAGAGCGAGAGAAAGAGATACTGAAATCAGACAGAGCAAGACATAGGAGCGGTGTGATCTGGAGGAAAAGTCCGTTTGAGGCAGAACAAGCTGTTCGGGGATTGTTTTTTGGTAGTATTCCATGAGCAGGAGGGAACTGAGAGACAGAACGGGTCAGGCGGGCTGAGTGCGGAGCTACAGGGGCATTTCAGCTCCCCATTCCCCTCTTCCATCACCATCTGCTCCAACAGAATTAATAACTTCATTACCAATTCAATCTGCATCGGCTTCCTAAAATGAAAAAAATCAACAGGCGTCCACTGTGGAAATACAGTAGATACTTTGGAAGTTCTTTTCACTCTTACAGTGGCTACATATGGTTAACAATGGTATTCATAGTTCAGACATTAGTATTGTTTGCTAGCGTTTGTTTACCTTAAAGATCACACCTTTTTATGGTACTCTATTCTCTAGATATGTCTCAGGTCCCTCCTATAATGTAAGACAATGGGATGTGTTTGTGTGGGCGGAGCTCTCTCTTCAAATAAATGAATAACAATGAATAAAAAATTTAACAATTCTAACATTATTCAAAATACATAGTGACTGAGATAATCTTTGTCAAGGAGTACATTTAATTGTTCATAAAGAGTTCACAATTTGAACATTATTTTTTTTCCCTTTGAAAATGTATTTTCAAGATCAGAGGTAAATTCTGCAAGATGATATTCAAACTCTAATTAAAGCATTAATATTATAATTTAAAGTTATAATATTTAATGTTACAATGCTAATATATAGTTATATTATACTATATGATATTATTTATATGGAATATTATAATAGTAATATTTTAATATTATTATTTGATCATATTGAGTTCACAATTTGGATGTTCTTGTTTCTTTTGAAAATCACACAATGATATTCAAACAATAATCAAACAATGATATTAAATTATATATATATATAATTGTTTAATACTATACTACTATTAATAATTAAGTCCATCCATCCATCCATCCATCCATCTAATATTGTAATAATATCTGTTTAATATTAATAATAATTTAGTACTACTAATAGTAGTATTAGTAATAATAGTTAGTAAAATAATAATTAGTAAAAAAAAAAAACATAGCTTGAGCTGTAAGGGGCCATAAAACTGATTAACATGCAGAAAAATATGTTATTTTTGTGCCAGTGTTGCATCATATCTTGTATCGTTAGGACATTTTGTCCGTCTGACTGTTTAGAAAAAAAAACAGCACGTCTCCACATGATTCGAGTTCTCATTCATGTTATTATTTTCAATATAATATTTAGAGGTTAGGGTTAAGTATAGGCAATACTTTTTGAGATGCTTGCTTTAACAAGCAAATAGTTTTGCAGACTGAGAGATGTGGTTTGTACTGAAAATACCAAAATGCACAAAAAAATTAGTGATAAAGTGGAAAGCTACAAGAAATATAATCATGATCTTGTACACAAAATGACAGTCCAAAGCCTTGCACTTTTGAGTTAATTACCCCAGTCAAGAGCTCTTGAATTGCAATGAAAGTCCCAGACAACGGTTAACAGGATCTTGAGAGGCATGAATGGCTGGTTGGAGAAAAGCAGGACTGGTCAGGCCTGAGCCAGGAACAGTTCAAGTGCCCGAGCGCAGTCCAGTTGCACGGTAACTGTTGGATGAAGAGCCGAAGAGCATAAGATGATGTGTCACTGAGGGAGAAATGCTCCGCACAATAACACAAATGTGTGGAGTGGGCTCTCTGGTTTGCGACGAGTGCCAGAAATCTCGAGTGGTGACTGGAGATGGCGACTGACTGCGAGTGGCGAGTTGGCAGCAATACGGGAGGAAGGGTCCATCTGCACACATGCTGCCAAACAGAGGAAATGACAAACTAAATATGGTTCCAATAAAGTGTTAGAAATACCTCCTTCAGATGGACAAAGGTCGAGGCAAAACTTGTATGAGCGTTGATGACAAAATCACTAATTAACACAGGATTGTATAAGACATTGCATTCAAGAGAATGCATAAATAATTGTATGTCAGCCAGACGAGGTGAATGAATCAATGAATGAATGAGATTTGAAAACAGATGCTGCTTGTCCATGCAAAAGTCACTGCCATTATGCTAGGATGTTTAAAGTAGCTGCTAAAGCATTTCTGAGTGGTTGCTAAGATGGTTTTGAATACATTGCATTTTCTTTCAATGCAAGCCTAAAAGGTTTTATCTGGCTATTTTATTGTCTGACTAAGCAAAAATGGTCTAAACACTAAAGGTGCAAAACAAAACCCTGATGAATTTTCAAAAGAAATAATTTTAGTGGGTAAAAAAAAGTTATTTAATGTCAATAGTGTAGCAATGCATGATGCATGAAGCACAGATGTCAATGTCTTCCTATTGGTGAACATGTTACCATACCGAAATCTTTTTTCACACTAACATAAAACTCCTGATCACACAGATTCCTGTATTTTGACTGCAAAATTTCACTGATCAATGGTAAATGTCACACAAACAATTTGATGTATCTTTCAAGTCTATGTCCATGTTCTTTATGACGTGTTAAATTAACTTAAGTTGAGGATCTCTGTGTGAACAAACAAGTATATTCCATAACAAATACTGCAGCAGCCTCAGAGTACGTATTTTAAATATTGTCACAATTGTTTAGCTTTTATTAATTTGATTGATTATGATTTCACTGTCTTCTTGTCACAGTGCTGCTGTGTTGGAACGCGGATATGATGGAGAGAAACGAGGAACAGTCTTTATTTATTCACAAGGAAGGAAAATACACATAGCACGGGGAATCTACGATTAAGACAGGACGTAGGACTCAGGAAACACAGGGCTAATATACTCAGGGAATGTAATCAGGGAGAACTGAAACAGGTGGAGTAATTAATCAAAAACCATGGAAACTAATGAGGGAACACCTGAAATCAAAGAACACAATCAACACGAGGGGGAGGAAAACACAAGACACATGACTGACATTACTCCCCCCTCCCTGAAGGTGTGTCCATGCGCCACACAACATCCAACGGGGAAGGGGGGTGGGCGTTCTGGAGGTCCCTCAGGACAGGCTTACACGGGATGGTAGGCCTCCAGAGTGGTACCCGTTCCGGGACCCATGGTGGACCAGGCAGTTCAGGGAGCCATGGCGGATCAGGCAGACTAGGAAGCCATGGCGGAGTAGGGAACTCAGGGGGCCTGGCCTCGGCACTTGGACCGGCCTCTACGGCCGGATCCCTATAACTCCCCCAAAAAAAATAATTGGGGAAAATATCGGCCCATGAGGCCCTCCGTGGGCCTGACGCGGTACCTGTGGCCCTCCCTGGGCCAGATGTGGGAACAGCGGCCCTCCCTGGGCTTGACTCGGGAACAGTGGCCCTTCCAGGGCCAGACGTGGGAACAGCGACCCTCTCTGGGCCCAACTCAGGAACAGGAGCCCTCTCTGGGCTGGACTTAGAAACAGGGTTTCTTTCTGGGTTGGACTCCAAGTGAAGTCCAACCCAGACTTCACTGGCTGAAGCCGACACTGGAGCGGACTCAGGGGCTGGAGCCCAGTCTCTTCCTCCGTATTCTCCTTCTTAGAGCAGAGGTGACGGAGACTGCTGCTGTCAGCTGAGGGCTTGGGAGTGTGTTGGCCGGCGGGCTTGACAGTGGAACGGCCGGCGGTCTTGACTTCGGAGCGGCCGGCGGGCTTGAACATGGAGCGGCCAGCGGGCTTGACTTCGGAGCGGCCGGCGGACTTGAACATGGAGCGGCCGGCGGGCTTGACTTTGGAGCGGCCAGCAGGATTGAACATGGAGCGGCCGGCGGACGTGAACATGGAGCAGCCAGCGGGGTTGAACATGGAACATGGTTCACGGCTTGACTTCGGAGCGGCCGGCGACTCTGGGCTGAGGACCAGGGAGGAGCTTCGGAGAACTCGGGGGTACATTGGGTTGGGCAGGTGGTCGGAGCCGTTGGTGAGGTATGTGGGGGTTCCTGGCGTGGGGTGAGCTGGGGAGACACGATGCGTTCCAGAGGGGGCTGGGCGAGGAGACTTTAAATGATCCTTTACTTCTTCCACTTCGTAATCGGAACCGTTCAAATAAAGGTCGAGATCAATCAGCTCGATCAGGGGGAAATCACACGTCGGGAGATCGCAGCGGATTGTATCATCGTCCAGCCCCAGCTGGAAACATGCCCCGAGAGCGGCGTCGTGGAAAGCTCAAGGAATTCCTCCACATATCTCTCCAACTTCCGACCAGCCTGCCGCAAACACCACAGCCTGTCCTTAGCATCTGTCATCTTGTATCAGTCCTGTCTTCTGTCACGGTGCTGCTGTGTTGGAACGAAGGAACGCGGAGACGATGGAGAGAAACGAGGAACAGTCTTTATTTATTCACAAGGAAGGAAAACAAACATAGCACGGGGAATCGACGATTAAGACAGGACGCAGGACTCAGGAAACAGGGCTAATATACTCAGGGAACGTAATCAGGGAGAACTGAAACAGGTGGAGTAATTAATCAAAAACCATGGAAACTAATGAGGGAACACCTGAAATCAAAGAACACAATCAACACGAGGGAGAAACTAGGTCATGGAGCACGTGGGGGAGGAAAACACAAGACACAGGACTGACACTTCTAGTCTTATCTTGTCTGGTGTAGAACATTTCTGTGTCATGTCTGGTTTAATCTACTGATTTAGCTATGGTCACTGAACGAGCATCACCTTGTTGTTCCTTTACAATAGCTGCTTCCATTACAGATTTGCAGAAAACTTAAGCAATATTTTATACATGTCGATAAAAGAGACGGCGTTTCTGTTAACCGATGTTATGCAACTAAAGCGTTTTTTTCCTCTCGCAATAAGTCACGCTGATGGATTTTAGTAGGGTTATGTATATCACAGCCACTGCACTAACCATTATTTAATCTAAGGAGACATATGCGTGTATCTTTACAGAAGCAACATGGAGAGTTCTGTGATGCTTCTAAAACGTGCTGCGGCGTGGCTGGTATAAACAGCATTGACTAGAGTGGCCGCGGTCAGCTCTGGTGGCCGTGTTGGAGCCGTAATGCAGTGTAAACAAGGAGTCATCCAAACATTAATGGCAAGGGAAACCCCATATACTTGAGATACTTATACTTTCTTGAAGGTTATAGTACGTTGAAGAATGATCATATGACTTTTTATGTACACCATTTGACCTAAACATTGACCTAAAAACTGCATTTCCATTGCATTTTCAATAACTAATAAAGCTGTGCTATTATTCTGCAAACACAGAAAAAAGTTGATATATCGCTAAACACAATAGCAGCGATACCTATACAGGAATAACTAAGTTAAATTACACACTGAAATTCATTGAACAACAGATAATGACATTTTTTATTTTTTGCTTTTAATACACCTCTATTTTTAGTTTCTCATAAAAACTAAGAGAGATGTAATGTTTCGACATCCCATGAGTCAAAACCAGGTTATCATGGAAACCAAAACGTGCTCTCTGACATGAGTTTGGATAGAAGAGTGAAAATGAAGAACAACTTTTGCTCTCCTACATTGTGTTTGCATGCAATACACAAAAGACATTACATTTGCTTGTAGGGGGAGTAACAAGCCAAATCAGGGTTGTAATTTAATTTCTAAAAAAAGGAATTACAGGGCAGATTTCTAAATAAGGTGTTGGAGTGAGAGGGGAATTGTTCATTTGTGTGGCACCTGCTTCAAGTCTGAAGCCCAGGAGTATTCCAGGACAGATAATTCCACACATTCACACGGGATGTTATTATAACTTCGGCGAGGTTAGAGGAAGTCACCGCGGCAATTACTCACCTCCCACCAGCCTCATTAAACCTCTGACCAACCACGGCTCCTCATCATACACACAGCGCAACGAGATGGCCAATCAGGGAGCAGACAGGCGGCATGCCGCCACCCACACAGTGACAGTGTATTGAGAGGTTGTCTGTCTGAGCACCTGAAATACATTTGTTTATTCACAATGTGTCGCCTGGCCAGACGGGGAGGAGGCTCGTCTCTTCTCTGCGAGATGGAGAGGAGGGCAGGGCTTAACTCGCGCTGGAGACGGCCTCGCTTCCAGGGACTGTGATCATATGCTGCTTTTAGAAAATGTATCTGTATGGTGATTTACGAGTAAAACGCCTGCTGAATGACGGAGTGTTGCTTTTTTGTAGCCGTAGGATCATCCTTAGCACTATTTTATATATATATCCTGTCACGAAACCACAGGAAAATGGTACAATTAAAGGGATAGTCCATCCAAAAATGACAATTCAGTTATCATTTACACACCGATGTGTTCTCTGCGAGATGGAGAGGAGGGCAGGGCTGAACTAGCGCTGGAGACGGCCTCGCTTCCAGGGACTGTGATCATATGCTGCTTTTAGAAAATGTATCTGTATGGTGATTTACGAGTAAAACGCCTGCTGAATGACGGAGTGTTGCTTTTTTGTAGCCGTAGGATCATCCTTAGCACTATTTTATATATATATCCTGTCACGAAACCACAGGAAAATGGTACAATTAAAGGGATAGTCCATCCAAAAATGACAATTCAGTTATCATTTACACACCGATGTGACATTTAAAACTTGATGGCTTTTTTTCTTACATGCAGCACAAAGAGAGATATCTCTTATCATATCATATTGAATGTTCAAGCTGCTCTTTTCCACACAATGAAAATGAATGGGGACTGGGATTTCAAAAATGACCCAAAAATGATTAAAAAAAAAATAGTCCTTTGTGCTCAAATACATCTATCATTTGTGTGATTTGTATATTGCATTTGGCACCCCAAATCAGCATGGTTATTGTAAACCGAAACGGAAATTAGTGTTGGTTAATTGAATTAAATCTGAATTAAAACTAAATATAAATATCAGTTGAAATTTAAACTTTGAAAACTTGGCAACCTGAAATAAGAAAAGTTAAAGTTGAAGTACTAAAATCACAGAAGTATATAACAAAATTACTAAAATTTGAACTAAAATTAAAATAAACTTAACAATAAAAATAAAAAACTTTAAAATAAAGCTAAGTGACTGAAGCAGCAAACACTAAATCAGAAGTAGAAAAGAAAAAGCGTATCAAATACATTACTAAAACTTAAAATAAATATAAAAATAACAAAAATAAATCTAAGTGAATAAAAAAGCTCATTCAAAATATTAACAAATATTATACTATATAAATATTATATAATATTAAAATACTGCTCAAAACCAATGGCATTGGAATTACTTATGTCAAAGCTGGAATGACATATCTTGCCTTGTCATATTTGGATATGTACAAACATGAATAAGACTTGAAATATTATAATTAAATAACTTACAATTTTAGCCTTTTTAATCACACAAAATTATATGATTTAAAAAGACTTGGAAATAGTGTACAGATCTTATAGACTACTGTTATGGCTACCATTCACTTTCATTGTGAATGAAACAGCAGCGTGAAAATTCTGCTTGATGTCTCCTTTTGTGTTCCAATGAAGAAAAAAACATACAAGTTTGGAATGACCTGACACTGAATAAATGATGACATAATTCCCATTTTTTGAATGAACTGTACATTACACACACATATATATATATATATATATAAGTAGGCCTGTCTGTAGTTCCCATGTCTGAAGGAGAACTGACGTGCAATCATTCCCATTACACAGGAGAACCATTTGCCCACATGATTGTCACAAACGCTTCCAAACAGAAAAACTTGAATGTCAAGAAAGGAAATTCATTCTTACAAACTTAATTTTTTGTAACTTGTGTACGAGACATCAGTCATTTTTCATATATTTCTGACATGTAGTTACAAACTTTATTGGAACCACTGGGCTCCCCTGTGAACCAATAGGACCACAGCTAGAACAACTGAGAAAGAAAGTGCACGTAAACAAATAGCCTGCGAGATTAAGAAAGGATGAAAGAATATTGACTTAATATTGAGCAATTAAAGTGTGTCTCATCCCCGGTTGTTTAAACACAGCGTCCCCATGCACAGCCTGATGAATCTGCCTCTAGATCCCGCCGGAGCAGAGCGCTGATGACTAACATGATATTTTTACTCAGTAATTATGTAACTCATCGGAAACGCAGCACAAGTGTGAAACACATGGAAGGTGCAGATACGGTCCACACGATCCAGGAATTGTTTGCCCACCAAAGTGTTTCTGACACCTTTTGCTTTGCACATTATGTCCAGGATTGTCCGTGCCAAAGCGCTGCTTTAAGCAACCTTTATTTTAAGGCTTTGTTCTTGATAATATTCAGATTAAATACACTGACTTGCATTAACAGGCTTGAAGATTCATTATATCAAAGAAGAACATTCATGAAGTCACAGAGGTTATAACGAGTCTGTAAAACATCAAATTAGGAGGAGACAGCATCTGCGTTTCGAAGACTTTTTTGGGAGATGTGACGTACCTTAATGTCAACCAGTAACCAGTGTCTCCAGTACGCGCGAGAAGGTTTCTGACGACTAGGAGCATCTGGATCCACCATTAATAGAGTGTATTTCTTCTCCTAGAAAGAAAGAAAGAAAGAAAGAAAGATGAAAACATTACATGTGTTTTGTTTTTTGTTCTCATCATCACTTTCCTCCTGCTATTTCCTTCAGAAGCATCATTTACTTTAACTATCGCTGAAAACCCAGCGTTTTTATCAAGTGACGTACGGAAGAAAACTTTAATTAGTTACTGATAATCTCAGACCACCTTCCATTCTCACACATTCACCAAATCACAATCTGTCTGCGAAGTTTTCTTTACTTTCTCTCCCTCTCTCTCTTTCTCTCTTTTTTTATGAAAAACACTTCTCCATAAACAACCTGGCACATATTTTGGGTGCTACACATTAACAATGACTGACCAACTTAATTGCTCCAACTACTCATCTTTGCAAGTCCCCGTAAAGTTGAAGAATTGGGAGAGCAGATTGAATTATTGCGTGAGCACATTTGTCATCCCTGGTGCCGAGCCCAAAATCTGCCAGACCATATGATAGCGTTATTATTATACGCCTCTCTCAAGAAAACAGTGCTGTCAATCACGATTGTTGCCATGCAACAATAGCCCCTCCCCACAACATCAAGACTAAGACGGAGACAAAAGTGAAACACTGTAGAAATTGAACCCATATGGCATATACAGGAAAATAAAACTCATTAAACTCATAAAACGGTGACAATAAAATAAAATACCCAAAAATTAGGTTTCCATTATAAAGCATACAAATTTAAATTATTATACAAATTAAACATATTAAAATAAAGCCTTATATTAAACAGAGGTAATTTTTAAATGATTTTATTGAGTTTAAGTTTACACGTTTTTTATTATTTTATTTTTGCCAGTCCAGGAAACCCATTTTCTGATTTCCTCTGCAGCCTCAAGGCAATTTATAATCAACTCTAATCATACAAGCCTATGTTTAAGCAACTAAAGCATGCAAATAAAAATCCCTGATAATTCTAAGGTCTCTAGAGCCTAAATCCTCTGCTCACCTGACATAAGCTCAAACAACCATAAGCCTAATAATAGGATGATGTTTAAGTTTAAGTGATAGCAGCTCCAGGTGATATTCAAAGAGGCAGAACAATGCTGCCTCCTCCACGGGCTGTCACTGTAAACCCTGACTGGATCTCACTGATCTGACCCCCTGTGGACAGATTAAATACCCTCCTCAGACCTGTTGCCGAAAATGCGATTTTTATCCAAACGGCCATGATGAAGGGCTGATGAAACCTTTGGAAGTGAATAAATAATTAGTAATACTTGCTAAAGCAGCACTTAAATAAATATCAGGAGTTTAATGTTGCATTACATACACCTTTAATCATACTGTCATTGGGGGCTCGTCCGAGATATGGAACATAATAAATATACACAGTACACAAATATATTATGTAAACAAAAACTTTTATTTTACACTTAACGCACAGATCTATTTATACAGTACATATCAATTGACATAAATTGCAATATTTGACACATACACTTTTCACCAGTATATCGTGAATGATAAGATATCGCCCATCCCTAACACACACACTGGATTCAGAAAGTATTCAGACCCCCTTCACTTTTTTCAATTTTGTTAGTTGCAGCCTGATACTACAATTGTTTAAATTCATTTTTAGTTCAAGCACTTTTGGCAGCAATTACAGCCTTGAGTCTTTTTGGGTATGACTCAATAAGCTTTACACACCTGGATTGGGGGATTCTGGATTCTTCTATGCAATCCTCTCAAGCTTGGTCAGGTTGGATGGGGACTGTCGGTGGACCGCCAATTTCAGGTTTCTCCAGAGATGTTCGATAGGGTCATAAGTCAGGGCTCTGGCTGGGCCACTCTAGGACATTCACAGAGTTGTCCAAGGCAACACAGGAGTGGCTTAGGGTCATTGTCATGCTGGAAGGTGAACCTTCGGCCCAGTCTGAGGTCCTGAGAGCTGTGGAACAGGTTTTCATTGAGGATATCTCTGTACTTTGCTCCATTCAGCTTTCCCTCAACCCTGACCAGTCACCCAGTCCCTGCCGCTGAAAACACCCCCACAGCACGAGGCTGCTACCAGCACACTTTACTTTTGGGATGGATGGCACCAGGTGATGAGCAGAGCTGGTTTCCTTCAAACATGATGCTTAGAAATGAGGTTCATCAGACCAGATAATCTTGTTTCTCACAGTCTGAGGGTCCTTTAGGTGCTGTTTTGTAAATTCCAAGTGTGTCTTCCCTGAGGAGAGAATTGAGTTTGGCCAAATCGCCATAAAGCTCAGATCGGTGGAGTGTTGCAGTGATGTTTGTCCTTCTGTAGGTTTCTCCTGTCTGCATATATGATCATGGAGCTCAACTAGAGTGACCATCAGTTTCTTGGTCACCAGTCTAGACAAGGCCCTTCTCCATCAATCGCTCAGTTTGGCTGGGCGACCAGCTCTTGGAAGAGTCCTGGTTGTGCCAAACTTCTTCCATTTGAGAATTATGGAAGCCACTGTGCTCTTGGGAACCTTCAGTGCAGCAGAAATTGTTTTGTAGTCTTCCCCAGATCTGTGCCTCGATACAATCCGGTCTCTGAGCTCTGCAGGCAGGTTCTTTGATCTCATGGCTTGGTTTTCGCTCTGATATGCATTGTCAACTGTGAGGCCTTTTATAGAGAGGTGTGTGCCTTCCCAAATCATGTCCAATCAATTTCATTTACCACAGGTGGACTCCAATCAAGGTGTAGAAACATCTCAGCAATGATCAAGAGAAATGGGTAGCACTTGAGCTAAATTTGAAGTGATGTTGCAAAGGGTCTGAATACTTATGTAAATGGGATATTTCAGTTTTTTCTTTTTAATAATTTACAGACATTTCTAAAATTCAGTTTTCACTTTGTCATTATGAGGTACGGAGTGTAGATTAATGAGAGAAAAAAGAAAGAATTTAAACAATTGTATCAAGCTGCAACATAACAAAATTGAAAAAAGTGAAGGGGGTCGATTGATATGTTGAAAGAGATCTGTGACTGGAGATTTGTGATTGGCTAAAACGCTCAATGCTCTAACACGTTACATTTGTAAATATGCGTTTGAAAGCAGCCATATATCAGCAGGTACCGGAAGTACCAATACCTTTGACAACACTACTATATTGTATATATTTACATTTTTATGACATCACATCACATCACTATATAACAATCAAGCAGTTGAGATTTGCAATACTATACAGTACATACCGTTTAATGAATGTATGTATGCAGCTAAGGTTGTATCCAGTCTTATGCCAACATGTGTAATGTTTACTTTCAAAAACAGTGTGATACTTGCATATTTTAAAAGTACATATATATGTTTTCTTTTATTTACAGTGTTGCACACTTGTCTGCTAAACTTTCATTGTAAGTGCATTACTATAAATGTCTTTAATTGCTTTTTACAAATTGACTGACAAGTTGTAATTATATTCCATGGTAAATGACAGCATGCCACCGATACTGTTAATAGGGCTAACGTTGTATTTAAATGCAAGAATATTCCTTTAATAATTTGACTAGAGTACTTTAATGTACATGCTTCATTGTACGTGCTTGTGTGCAGTTTCAAAACTTTCATGATGGTGAATAGGTCCAAACTTTTATTCGTTATTCTGGTCTCAACAATCATATTATTGTAACATCAATACACTACTGACATTAGGACCTATTTTCAGTGTTTCCCCTAAAAAATGTGGAGAAAGCACATGCATTATGTGGGTGTGTGTCGCTGGGGTAGAGAATATATGTGTGTATGTGTATAATTAATGTGCATTTAGACAGATGGAGGAAGCAAATGCAGAGGAAAGAGAGGACAGGGAGGGAAGGTGTGAAGAGATGCAGTCTTTCCCCCACCAGCTGGGACAGGGTATGGTTTAAGTGTACTCAAAAACAACATAATATCTTACTATTTTTGGATTTAAGTCATTTTCATTTGTCTTTCATGAACAAGTTCTGATCGTTGGTGGACATCATACTTGTTTAAGATGCATTTAAGTCATGTAGGGACCAGAATGGCCTAGAAATCAAGCAGAACACAATAACACACACTGCACAGCAACATTTCCACTTTCTGAGGAAAGAGCCCAGAAAGACCAAGGCTCAAAATCAAGAATTCACGTCACTTTGATTGACATTTCCTTTTAGAGATTTCACAATAGCATGTTCTATACTGTATCTTACACTATAATGCAATTATTTTAAATTATGCTCTGCTGGAGCCATGGCCTAGCTGTTAACATGCTTCAAATTTTAAGGACCAACAGTGTCCCTTGAGGGAAAAATGGTTTATAATGCTGGTTAACCAGCAATGGAAATAAGTCCCTGGTGTGTTTCAGCCTTTGGACTGTGTCTTGGGCTTTTTCTTCTAGTTATTACTGCTATGTTCGGTTGCATACGTTTTTTTGCTTTGAAAAACACAAGACACGGCAAAGGAATGGGGAATAAATGCACAGCCTTGAAATGCGTATTTAAAAGTTCAACTTATTTGTTTTTAGAATGCTGTGCCATGCGCAAGATGCGAGTGTAACGGTCAAACACGTCCATCTAGCAAGTTTACATTGAAAAACAATTGAAAAGCAACACAGTGGTATGGAAAAATATCAGTGATCTCACAGTTTTCTTTGTTTGAGGCCAGCAAAATTTTGGGAACCAGGACTTGGAGATCAGTCTAGGGTTTTTGTTGTGTGTAAAGCACAAGAAATTGAAATATATTTTCTAAACAAAAATAAAGTGAACTTTTAAAACAAATACCAAATCAAATAAAAAACATAAATGAATGAATAATACAAATAAAATAAACACTTTATATAAACAAAGACTTTGCCTAGGCCTGGCCGATAAAACGGTATCGGTATTTATCGACGGTACACCTTCATCGATAACGATGAAGATTTAGAAAAAATGTTCGATATTGCGCACGATATAGGCACGTGCTATGAGTGACGCAGACAGTCTACGAACACATGCTGAAATGAGTGGTGTGCCTGCCTGTGATGAGGAGATTGTGAACAAA